TGTTTAGTAAAAACATGAGAGATCTTTCGCAAGTTCTACTACTAGGCTGGTAGATTCTGAGATATAAACAGAACTTCTAAAGATGGAAATGTGACTCTGAAGCTTATGAATGTGTAAACCAATGAGCAATAATTTAGTACTCAGTGGTGACTCGCTCCTAGAGCTGATTCTCGATATTTTAATGAAAAGTCGTGTAAACGGTGCGGTGAACCATGTGGAACATAAGAACAGTTACTGAACGACGACATTTGATGGAGGTCACACATTATATTGTTAACCGACAGAAATTGGAAATATGGACTATTGAATTACGACGCAGTAGATCAATGGTAACGTAATGGCCACGGAACCTGAAAGTCCTAGGTGTACACCGCTGAGGAGTTCCATACTAGGACGAAACAGCCGCTCAGTACCCCTAGTGTCCCAATGTTTCTTCAACTGGTATCAGTGCATGATGAATACAAACCTGAGCCATGGGTTACAAAGTGGCTGTATTCTTACTTTTCTGAAAGGAAACAGTATACTGTCTATAAAGGGAAGTGCTCCACTTAATTGCTTACTGAAGCTGGTATGCCTCAAGGTGCTGTACTTTCTCCTTTTCTGTTTTCATTCTTTTTGCATGATTTACCTTATTCTGATGAAACTAGTGTTATTAAGTATGCTGATGACCTTAAGGTTTCTATTCCACTTAACTTTCATTTACATTGTTCTAAATTAAATGAATTCTTGTCTGTAATTGACCAGTGGTCTCTCTTAAATGGTCTCAAGTTAAACCCTTCTAAATGTCAAACTGTTAACTTTAGCCTCAGGCGTAAACAAGACTTGTGTGAGCTATTTAAGTCTCATGATGCCTATTGTAGCATTGATAGTATTTCTACAGAAAGTAAATCGAGTGTTAAATATCTTGGAATGAGTTTTACTTTTGATGTTTGTTGGTCGTCTCAGATCTTGTTGACTTGTAAATCTTTCATTTAACGTATTACATCAAGAAACTGAGGTTCTCTGGTATGAATCAACTTGTTTTACAACTTATTAATTCCTACATTTTACCTATTCTTCTCAATTGTTCTTCGATGATCCTTCCTGATCTTTTAAAAAATGAATACGTTATGTTACGTAAGGCTTCGAAAGCCGTCAGCAGAGTGAGTGCTATGCCTCTGCCCCAACTCATTACCAATGTTGACAGACATCTAAATTCTAACAAGTAACTAGCTACAGTAATTTTCACTGACGCTGAGCATCCACTTGATTCATAGCCTCCACTCTTCTTGTATCTCCTGTACGCTTGTACAGCTAAGTACAAGAATTCGACTGTACCCCTTACCTAGCAAGCATATTATGTAAGGAAAAAAGAATGCTAGAACTGAACTCACATATTAACTTTGCAACAGTAAAAAACTCATTTCAGTAATTTAATTAACAATGTAACATGTTTTCGTTTTTAATATTCTTTACATTACTCGATTTTTTATCATAAAACAATTCGAAATGTGGTAAATGAGGATATTACTTATTTATCAGTATTATTTGTCCCTTAAGTTTTTAGTGGAACATGGGGCTTCAGTAGCACGTCTGCAGTTCACTACCTTCTCTGCAGTCTTTTCAATCTGGTTTCATGACTGCCCAAAAGCTTTCATTTCTTCTACACATGATCTCCTCAATGTCACCCTCGGCTCGGAGCCCCAACTGGTTGTTTCCCACTCGAAGGCCTGGCGCGTGATGTCTACGAATGGTTTTCTCAGTGTATGCCCAATCCATCTCCACTTTCTTCTGCATATTTTTTGGGTGATATGTTCTTGCTTGGTTCGTTCTCAGAGTTCCTCGTTGCTTATTCTTTCTGACATCTGATCTTCAGTATCCAGAGTCGATGAATGTCTGTTGTTTCTTCGAGGTGTTTTTTCGTGACGCGCCAAGTCTCTCAACCATCACATAGAAGCACTGACTTGATTGACGTTAAAGTTGAAAATCTGGATCTTCTTCTTTGTGTTGAGTGCAGTAGATCTCCACACCGGTTTCGGATTGATGAAGGCCTGTCTTGCTTTTCCCATCCTGGCTTTGACGTCCTCATCTGTGGCTGCGCCGCCTGTGGTTGAAACGATGATGCGTTGCCTAGGTAGGTGAAAGAGAATACTTCCTTTCAATTTCTTCCGCTCACAGTGATTGGTGCCACTTGTTGCTGTTTAGTTATTGGTTGGGTATCTCATCACCTCTGTCTCCTCTATGTTTACCTGAAGAAGTCCCGTCTGTCTTCGTTGCTTCTTCCGTCAACTTGTTGCTTTTTGCCTGTAGATCTTCAAGCTTCTGCGACAACAGACATAGACCATTGGCGAAATCTAAATTTTCTTCTGAAGTCTTTTCATCGGTCAAACAGCGTATGCCCGTCTTTTCGCTTCTCACAGTTGTCGGTTACATGATCCACTCCAGTTCAATCGAAAACAGTCAGGAAGATCATCGGTGATAGTAGACGGCAGCCTTGTCTTACTCCTGTTTTCACTTCAAATTCATCATCACTGAGCTTTCCATTGTGAATCACTCGGCATGTAGCATCATATAGGATATAGCTGCTGTTGAATGAGGTTGATAAAGGTTTGTGGCACTCCGGAGTGTTGAAACGGTTGCCAAATTAGTTCTCGGTCAACGCTGTCAAAGGCCTTTTCAAAATCGATGAAGTTGAGGTAGAGTTGACTGCCATTATATACTCTCTTCTAGCGTTACAATTTGATGGGCACATGATTTAATCTTCCTGAAGTCAGCCAGCCTACTCCGGTCATAATTTTAAATCCAGAGCATTAAAATTTAGTCTCTCCAGGATGATGCGGCATAATATTTTGCTTAGGGTGGACAGGAGCATGATTCCGCACCAGTTCCTCCAAAGACTTAGGTCGCCCTTCTTGAAGAGTTTGACAAGCTAGCCCTTCTTCCAATCAATGAGCAGGTACATCTCCTTCCATCCTCCCTTCCAAACCTTCTGCAATAGTGGTGTGAGATTGTTTGTTGTTGTCTCTACGCCTGTTTTAAGTGCTTCTGGCAGAATTGCATCTGGTCCTTCTGCTTTCTCGGATTTCAGCAACTTCATGGCATTCAGGACTTTTGCTTCTGTCGGATGGCTTATGTTCACTGGTATTTCTGTGGCTGTGCCGCTGATGGTATTTCTGGCCGAGTTGCAGGTGGTGGTCGATTTAAGACTTTTGGAGTGGTCAGTTCGTCGTTTTCTCTGTTTCTCTTCTTTGGTAACTAGCTTTCCTTCACTATCTTCCATTGGTTACATCTGTGTTGATCTCTTCCCAGATAGTAACCTGGTTATTTGATATTATGTTATCAGGTGTCTCCTACCAGCAGCGTGTTCTGCTTCACTTGCTAATGTGTCTTTCACCTTTCCGCCTAATCTTCTTCACTTCCTTGTCCAGTGTTTTATAGGTTGTATTCAGTTCCTGTTTTCGTTATTCACCCCTGCACTACACTGCACTAGTTTATCTTCTGCTTCACCATCTTCCTCTTCCTGGTCTGTCAGCTTCCATGTGTCAGTCGAGATCCATTCCTTGTCTTTCTTCGTCTTCCTTTCGAACACGACTACACAGGTTTCCTTCGACACCTCTTTGAAGGAGTTTCAGTGTTCTTCCACGCCCGATCCTTCAGGGATGTTGCTCAATGTCTCCCATTTTATCTTGATGGCTGACGTGAAGATGTCCTTTGTAGTTTCCTCCTTCAGTTTCTGTTCTGGGTATTAAAGTTGAACTGTGACCTATCAGCAACTTCTTAGGATTGAAGGCTTTCAACTTGATTTTGAGTGTAGATTCCTTGCACTAGATAGTGAGTGGTGTTAACCTACATCTGCTCCCCTTGTTGATCTGATCTTGTGCCCAGTAGGTTGCATCTCCACTTTCTTCACATTGAGATGAAGTTGATCTGAATTTTAGTGTAGTGTGTCCATCTGGTGAAATCAAATTCATGTCGCTTTGTGACTATCCGTGTGTTTGTACACACTGCCTCCAATCACCAAATGGTTGAATGAGCAGAAATCTCCAAACAGTTCTCCATTCTTGTTCATTTCACCGAGTGCTTCTCGATCCAGGATTGGTTCTCTTCCTGTATTGTTCACTCCGAGTTTGGCATTCATGTCACCCCACCTATTAGAATTTTAATGTGGCCATCTGGGTGGGGTTTTGTCCATTACTGATTGCAGTTGTCTGTAGAATTCCTCCTTCTCTTGATCTGCATTATTTGTAGGTGCGTAGTGTAGCATTGTATGATCGTAACTTTCCTTCCTTTTGAGTGGAATCCTCCTTGCTGTCATGATCCCAAAAGGGGGAGACTGGTTCCCACTGCATTAGAGAAAGCCTTTGATGTTCTTGGGCACGTCATGACAGCCACTCGAAAACTGACTGTGCTAGTGGTTGTCATCTGGGTGACAATATCAGAGTAGATTATTAACTCCCCTCCAGTTGACAGTTTGAAGAGTCCACTTCCATTCCATCTGCTTTCGCAGATTCTTAGCACTTCTATGCTATACCTTTTCATCTCTTTCGCAATCTGGGCAGGCTTGCTAGGTTCAATGTTTCTATGTTTCCTTTCGCTTTCATCGAGAGAAGAGAAGACATATCGGCTAATTAGTTTCCAGAAAGCTTTCATCAACCGGTTTCATTTCGTCCCTCCGATTCTAGTGAGGAATAAGTTTATTTTTTATATTTACTTTGTGTTTTGAAGTTTATTTACCGCTTGGATTGGTTTTCCGTGGTAGGATTGTTAGCCCTATGCCAAACCTTCTCTCTTTATCCGGCGTTAGGACCGACTAGTGACTAGTGAACTTGTTATTTAGACAACGTTAAAGGAGGCGGATATACATGCATAGATTATTTTATTATTGTTGTAATATATCATAGTTAGAAGTCTAAATCATACCACAAATTGTTCGGAATAAAGTGAATCAGTATTATTATTATTATTATTAAACTAATAACTAAGAATTTCATTGATGTAAATAACTAGTTAGTTTGACTTACCATTACACGATTCTCTGACAGATAATTAGATATACCAAGATAATGTGATGCATTTGAAAAGCTAAACAAAGTTACACTATTTTGACTTTGATTTGTAGTAGAATTTATAACAGAAGTATTACCACTGTTTGAAATACCAGTAGTACTAATTGAAGAAGGATAATCATTATTAAATTGAGTATCTTTTATATTAGTAGTATTTCCAGTAGTATTAACATTATTATTACTACTATTATTATTGGTAGTAGTAGTAGTAGTATTAGTCGTAGTAGTAGTAGTAGAAGTAGTATTTGAACCAGTTGGAAAGTGAAATGCACCAATTCGTTTACGACCCATTAATGTATTCAAGTCAACTTTTGATGGATCCATTAGAGGATTTGAATTATCATTACAACTTGTAATATCACCAATATTATTATTATTATTGTTATTGAATAGTTGTAGTTTAAGTAAACCACTTTTAGTTAAAGCAAGTGATGCTTCATTCAAATCAACTGGTGAAATATTATCTAAATGTGTTAATAAAATACAATAAACCTAAAAAGAGAAGAAAAAAACAAACAGTAAAATGGAATTAATATTTTATTAAAGTGTAATATCGACTAAAGAATTATTAAAAAATCTCGAAGTATTCCAAAGATCGATCCTCAAGACCTTCAGTTTTTATGTATTGACAGAAGTATAAATTGTGGACCATGAACCCCATCCACCTATCCATCCATATATCCAAATCAACATATTACTAGGCATTACTGTGTAACGGTCCGAGTTGCCACACCTCATATCAGAACATCAAGTAAAAAGCCAGTGAAGTGGAAGATGGAGATAAAAAAAATTCAGTCAAAAGAAATATAAAGTATTCGAAGAGAGAAAGGAGGAATGAGAAAGTGGTGAAATTCGGTATAGTGTCGCTAAGATGACGATAATCTGTGTGGGGATACATCTGCACCACTGACATCAGTTCTGAGCCATTTCACCTACAGTCAGTCTCCAACCACTGATTTCTCTTGTCTCCTGGTCCCCAACCACCCAGTCTGCATCGCCCCCACCCCGACCCCCGCCCACATGGCTCAAACCAACAGTCAAACACTTCATATATTGATGCCATGTTTTAGTCTGACCACATCGGGCCTTTATCCACCCTGAACCAACATTGTGTGATGAGGCACGTGGCGACTAGACATAACTAACACATGTCCCAATCAGCCATCTCAGTCAATCAAGGTATACGACCGTGTCAAATGACTTACCTCTTCTCCCCAAAACTCTACACCTGACTTGTGTGTTACTCACGTGGTGACACCACGGAATGAAGCCTATACTATGATGACACAGCGGTGGTCAAACACCTGAAACCTTCTACCTTTAATTGTCATGTTTCACAACCGTACAGTAGAACAGAGGAGACTGCTGTGCAGCACACATGATCCTTACTAAACAATCGGATATCACGGCGTCGCCATGAGTGACGTGAGTTGGCAAGAGCCAACGGAGATGTTTGTATTCGTGCAGAGATTTCATCGGCCACTGATCAACCCATCAGGGCTGATCCTACTTCACTTCCCAGGTAACTGAAATGGTCGACGCATTGAACCTTCACACTCTCTACTGTTAGCCGTGACACTGCTGAAGACCAATCCTGGAGCAACAATCTGCCACTGAAGGTGTCCAGAAGACTCTGCATGTTGTCAGCGTCTTTACCTAACAAGACTATATCATCTGCGTATTCTAGGTCTAATGAGAATTCTCCTGTGATTAGGTGAACCTCTGTTTGGTCAGGTGATGAGAGGGAGACCTCCATGAGAATATCTATGATAAAATTCAATAAGAATGGAGAGAGTGGGCAGCCTTGACGGTCACCACTCCACGAGCATAGCTCTCCGGAAATCTCATCATAGGCTCTAACACGCTCACAAGTGTTCGAGTAGAGAGCCTTCAATAAGGTGGTGCACTTACTAGGCACGCCTTCCATTGAGAGACATTGCGAAGAGGCTTCTCGATCAACCAAGTCGAATGCCGCCTTTAGGTCGAGAAATACAGCTACTGTCTGTGTCGGTAAGCGTACCTGTGTTCCAGAAACTGGCATAGTGTGAATATTTGATCAACAAGCCCACGACCAGGTCTGAAGCCTCCCAGGTATTCTCGGGCTTGCTGTTCCTGAGCTCCACTCAGGCGATAAGTGATCATAGAATCTAGAATCTTAGACACCATGTTCATCAGGCTGATTCCTCTGTGCTTATCACAAGAGGACTTCTCGCCTTTTTTGAAGACTGGGATAATCAGTGATTTAGACCAGTCAGAGGGGATCGTATTTGATTCCCGTATACTGGTCAACACTTCCACCATACTTGCATACATTAGGAATTAGTCCGTCTAGTCCTGCTGCTTCTCGGGTCTCTGAGCTAAGATCGTGAGTGGTATCTGTTCTTTGCGGTGTAATTTCTGCACTGAGGCTAATGAAACCACCTGTATTTTTCGCCTACGGACGCGTGCTATGAGCTTGCTCGACCCCGTCCACGGGTTGGCCTTGTGTTGCATTGAACTCCTACCCAATGGCTGAATAATTTACGTGTTTGCCACGAGACCTGAAGGTCCTCAGTTTGGTCCCTAACCGGGTGGTTGGTGCGTAGCTGCTGAGGAGTCCCATAATAGGACGAAACAGCCACTTTGCAGTGCTCTCATCCAGGTTTTCAATGTTTCTTCTACTGATTTCAGTCCATGATGAGTACTACATAAAGAATAAAATCCCCATAAATATCAAGTGGGAGTATATAGCAATATGCTAGAGATTAACGCCTTAATGTCAATTTATATACTCAAGATTATGAGCCTCAATCATTATCTGCGTGTTTAAGACACTGATTGATTATTCATACTGAAAAGGGATTTGGACAATGAGCATATGGCCTTAACGATATGGCAAACTTGTGTTCATTTTAGGTATTCAAAAGATAAACCACTTATCATTTATAGATACTTGTAATTTCCACGTCGAATTGGTCGACTTATGTTAGAAGATGGGCACCTATGCGGTGGCCTCAATTACTGCATGGATATTCATTATGTTACAGTTTACTTGGCAGTTGGGCTAGTAATGCAAGTCGAGCAACGGGGAATCACAAGAAGTAGCTGTCATGCTCAAACGACCTAGTGGATAACGATTAAAACATTCGAAGTGATGGATACTGGGGGTTGGAGTCCCGGTGGGAATACAATCAACAAATTGGGGTGCAAGTACTTCCAACTGACGACAAACAAACAACTTGGATTCTACAACTATCCACCAAGTAAACCATATACTATTAATTAACTTTTCCAGAACTGGTTAAGAAGTCAAGGTTATGGGTTTCCAATAAGTTGTTATTCAACACTACTACTATTCAACCAAGTTACTGCTTCATTTTTTTCTCTCCATTTATACTATTTGGTAAATCACCAAGAACCAATCAAATTATTTTATGATTATTAAGATTAATGTTGACCTCATTTGATTGGTATAAACAGGATCGAACTGAACATCACCCAATAGGAGTAAAATTAGGGCACAGTGATAGATTTTAATTCCATTTCACTCTGTTCATTAGAAGTGTCACACACAGTGAAGGAAGAATAGTATCTATTTACTGGATAACATTTGGGACACGATTAGCTATCCGTATTCATATCAGGTAAGTAACTCGACAACTGTGAGATAGAATTTATATAATTATAATTCTCCCTACTTTTTTACGATGATAAGAGTAGTATATAATTTTCCAGATATCTGGGAAAGGCACAGAATCATTTCTATGACTGCATACATTTCGTGTTGATTCGATGAACAAACATTCAGTCGGTTATCAAACTTGTTTTAACCATTCAAATGTTAATTAATCGTATAATATACTCTCGTGTACTCTTTAAATGTTTTCAACCTACAGTTAGACGAATTAACAATAAGACTACAGTTTAAAGCAACTGGTCCCTTTGATAAATTTAAACAGTGTAATGAGAAGACGAAGATTATCTGAAACATGTGATGTATTAGCGCTATACATTTCGAACAATCTGATCACACATGGACTTGTCGAACTATTTATATGAAAATTTACGAAAAGGTTAATGAGGTTAGTAGGAAAATAGGAATAGGAAGGGATAGAAAAGGAAAAGAAAAACCTTATTCTTGGTATGAAAATTAAAATCAATACTACCAAGGTAGGTTCAACGTGAGTACAAATTGTTTTTGTATACATAAAGGGGGATTAAATTTACGGATGGCAACAGCTTCAATAAATTTAAGCACTCGATTCTGACCACTGTTATGTAGTACTTTAAAGGCTGTTTTCATGTCTATCCTATGGTTAGTTTCTAGTATGTGTTTAGCGATAGACGAAGATAGCTATTTGTCATCTGCACTTATCGGATCTGTTGAGATCATTTGTTTTTGTAGTCACTTAGGTACATGTTCAGCCTCCCTTAACTGCATATCACGATTACTCCTCCCTATATATGTGTCCACACATACATGTAAATTGATAAACACAGTGGGATGTGATGTAATCGTTTATATGTTGTTTCGGTTTGTGCTGTAACATGGACTTGGTCTTCTCTACAATGATGACGTTAGCTGCATAATACGTTTTACAGATGGCCGATCTAAGTCTTTTCCTCACAACAAAGCTATGTGAATCACCTCTAAATGGTAATGAGATGTAGACATTTTTCTTAGCAACGGAACACTGTATACTTTTCAATGGTACATAACTTTTGCACCGGTCGATAAATCTCAACGGGTATCCATTCTGTATCAGAGTTGTCGTCAGTAAGTTGGCTTCTTCCTCCCTGGTGTCATCGGTGCAGATACGGTTTATCCTGTTGAATAAGCATCTGACTAAACCACGTTTGTATTGGACTGGACAATAGCTATGGAAATGAAGATATTGCCCTGTCCATGTAGGTTTCTTATAGATCGACCTCCTGATCGAGCCATCCTCCCGTCGACTGAGCAATACGTCTAAGAACGGTAGCTGGTTGTTCGTCTCTTGTTCATAAGTCAGGCTAATGTGATTCTGAGCCGTGTTCATTTTCTGTAGCAGGCACATTGCATCATCAGGCTTTTCACATATAATGACTATATCATCAACATATCTCTTATAAAGTGAAACCCTTCCAATGAGATCGTCAGCCAGGTTTTCAACATATGACATGTATACATCAGCTAGCAACGGTCCTAATGGACTACCCATCGCGACACCATCAATCTGTTGAAAGTGTTCACCCTCGAATGTGAATTCAACTTTATCAGTGCATAATAACAATAAATCTTTTAAAAAATTAATAGGGATATTAGAAGAAATATAGTCACATAAAATATCAATTGTTTTTACTAGAGGTACATTAGTAAATAAAGAATTTACATCGAACGAGTACATAGTCTTATCCTTGATATTAATATCATATAAACAGTCAATAAGGTCAAATGTATCTTTCAATGAGGAGTTACATAAATGGCTTCTGACAGGGTTCAAGAGCTACAGGAAAATATCATAGTAGACTTCATACACTTGGCAAACAGCTATTAGAGGGACAAGTAGGTGGAATAGTAAATTTTTATTCCATATTAGATTTGTTTATTTGATTTATAACCCATAGTGAGTTATATAGTCACATTTACTTGATGACCATGCTCCAAGTATAAATTATCACTCTGAGACAAGCTTTATCAGCTGGTTTAAGGATCTGAGAGAACTAAATCAGCGAAATAATCTACTCTATCAAATACCATATAATGACTGCTAGATAAAGTACTTAGGTGATACTAGCCTGGCTGATGGAAATCATTTAGAATAGTGGAACATAAGAATTTAACTAAAATATAGAATAACAGAACTGAATAAGATCAATAACCTAGAAAGACAAAGCATACATTGTAATGCATGCATTACACACACAACCACACAATAGGATGGAGTAGGTTAAAAAAAACTCACTGAACTCAACTGGTGGAGAAAGGGAGAGATTCCATATTAGATTTGTTTATTTGATATATATAGCGCACAGTGATACAGTATTATTTACTTGATTGATTACGTTTCGAGCATAAATTACCATTGCTCATAATCATCATATCAATGTAATCACACTCCACTTTCGATATCTGATTTTATACTCCTGTCACCTGATCTCTCTTTGTTTTTTCATTGGTAGTAAAGTTTTCCATATCTCTCGTATAGGTGTTGCGTCATTCTGATTACATGTGTTGGGTGTGGATTCGATGAACAAAGATTCAGTAATTAATCTCTTTCTCTCTCTCCACCTAGCTATATTAGACTTAAGTACAGTGGTTTTATCCCACCCACCCTATTGTGTGGTTGTGTGTTAATCAATGTAATGCAATGGCCGAGTGTTTTTCTAGATTATTGATCTTATTGGGTCTGTTGTTCTATGTTTAGCTAAATTCCTATGTTCTGCTAATCTAACTGACCCCGATCGGCTAGTTTGACCTATGTATTTGACTTCACAGTCATTACATGGAATTTGGTAGATGATATTATTTTGCTTAATTGGTTCTATCGGATTTTTAAGCCAGCCGACAAAGCTTACCTCTAAGTGAGTTTGTTGGTTTACATATGCTTTTCTATCAAATCCATATGCAACAATATACAAACAAGATGATAACCTAAAAACTACTGGTTATTATGCATTTACTGCCTATCATACTGTTATTATTAATACTAACAGTTATAAATGAGGTCAGTGACGCATGGAATAGGTCGGTGGTTACGTCAATGACTACAATGTTGTGTGATACACTTTTAAATCTTAAGCGGGATATCAGTCCCATCAAGGTTACAGATACACCTTGAGGACGAGTTCCAACAAGTACGAAAGTTAATCATTAGTCTATCATCCTATTTAGTCAAATGTTATACAAAATATTTAGAATAGGAGTTAAACTCACCTCATGTTGTACACAAGACCAGATATATTTACTTGTCAAACCTTCTAATTCATTTGAAGCTCGAATATGTTTCTGTGGAAGAAGAAAAAAATACGTGGAAAACTGTGTACATACATACATAGAAAGATGAAGAGTATATCTGACAGAGAAGAATAATCAAGATTATAACCATGATAAGTTTTGAGGTATAATTTACCTGGTGGTGATCAGCAGTGTAATCCAAAATACACATTTTATCCTACTTGGGATTACGTCGGCTATATGTAAAACTGTACCTCCAGTATCCTCACTGAGACTCGAAGTCCATACCCATCCTTTCAAACACTAAAGTGTTATCCACTAGTATAAGTGAAAAACTTGGGCACTGTGGTAGAATGTAGTTCCATATTACATTTGTTTATTTGATATATATAGCGCACAGTGATACAGTATTATTTAATTGATTGATTACGTTTCGAGCATAAATTACCATTGCTCATAATCATCACATCAATGTAATCACACTCCACTTTTTTTGATTGATAGTAAAGTTTTCCATATCTCTCGTATAGGTGTTGCGTCATTCTGATTACATGTGTTAGGTGTGGATTCGATGAACAAAGATTCAGTAATTAATCTCTTTCTCTCTCTCCACCTAGCTATATTAGACTTAAGTACAGTGGTTTTATCCCACCCACCCTATTGTGTGGTTGTGTGTTAATCAATGTAATGCAATGGCCGAGTGTTTTTCTAGATTATTGATCTTATTGGGGTCTGTCGTTCTATGTTTAGCTAAATTCCTATGTTCTGCTAATCTAACTGACCCCGACCGGCTAGTTTGACCTATGTATTTGACTTCACAGTCATTACATGGAATTTGGTAGATGATATTATTTTGCTTAATTGGTTCTATCGGATTTTTAAGCCAGCCGACAAAGCTTACCTCTAAGTGAGTTTGTTGGTTTAAATGCCACCCTAATTCCAACCTTGTTGAGAATCCTACGTATGGTTTCTGATGTTCCTTCCTTGTATGCTATCACAATAGAAGTGTTGATTTCCTTTCTACTTATGTTGTCACTATTATTTGTATTTGTATTAGTGTTATTATTTTGCTTCTTATGTGTCCGTATGAATTTCTTAATAAAATGATGGGGATAATTATTGATTATTAACGCTTCTTTTATGTTTCAATTCCTTATTTAAGTCCTTACAATGACTAGTGAGTTTCTCAGCTCTGTTATTTACACATTTGACTAAACCCGCTTTAACTTAACGAAACTGGAAAATTCAGCTTTAAACAATCTACGAAAGGATAATAGTATAGTAATTGCTAAATCTGACAAAGGTAACTCAACAGTAGTTATGGACAAATCGGATTATCTTAAAAAAATGGATGAACATATCCAAACAGGGCCATATGAAGAGATTAAGAAACCTATAGATACTGTCATGAATAAAATTAAGAAATCTACAACAGATCTGATACGCCGACTGAAGCCATCTCTAGGTAAGTCCGAATGGTTTACTTTAATGCCAAAAACTAATAATCCTAGCAGAATTTACGGTACTATTAAGGTTCATAAAGCAGGTTATCCCATTAGGCCGATAGTTGACTTCCGAACACACCAACATATGAGATATCAAAGTATTTAGCATCAGTATTACGTCCTGTTAGAGACCGTTCCAACTCTAGACTAGTAAATTCTTACGAGTTGAAACAAAAACTTAATGACCTGCACATAGAAGAGGATGAAAAAATGGTTAGTTTTGACGTAACAAGTCTTTATACTAAAATACCAATCAATATGGCACTGGAGGCAGTCAGAAATCAACTAGATACTGACTCACAACTTACTCAAAGAACCAAGGCATCGGTTGGTGAAATCATGTTAGGAGTGCAGTTATGCTTAACCTCGACAGTCTTCAAGTTTCAGGGAAAGATTATAGACAAACAGAAGGAGTAGCAATGGGATCACCAATATCCCCTATAGTAGCAGATATATTTATGGATAGTTGGGAAGATATGGCTTTACGAACATATAATCCGACACCTAAGATATGGTGGCGATATGTAGATGACACATTTACAGTGTTGAAATCGGAACATATCGACAGTTTCTTGACACACATAAACTCAGTAGTTAACGCAATCCAATTCACTACGAAGTAGAAAATGAACAAGGAGAATTACCTATGTTGGATTGCAGAATAAAACGAAGGATAGATGGTGGTTTAGATACTACCGTCTACAGAAAACCAACACATTCTAACAGGTATCTAGACTTCAAGTCATCTCATCCAGTGTCAGTTAAAGCGGGTTTAGTCAAATGTCTAAATAACAGAGCTGAGAAACTCACTAGTCATTGTAAGGACTTAAATAAGGAATTGAAACACATAAAAGAAGCGTTAATAATTAATAATTATCCCCATCATTTTATTAAGAAATTCACACGGACGCATAAGAAGCAAAATAATAACACTAATACAAATACAAATAATAGTGACAACATAAGTAGAAAGGAAATCAACACCTCTATTGTGATACCATACAAGGAAGGAACATCAGAAACCATACGTAGGATTCTCAACAAGGTTGGAATTAGGGTGGCATTTAAACCAACAAACTCACTTAGAGGTAAGCTTTGTCGGCTAAAAGATCCGATAGAACCAATTAAGCAAAATAATATAATCTACCAAATTCCATGTAATGACTGTGAAGTCAAATACATAGGTCAAACTAGCCGGTCGGGGTCAGTTAGATTAACAGAACATAGGAATTTAGCTAAACATAGAACGACAGACCCCAATAAGATCAATAACCTAGAAAAACACTCAGCCATTGCATTACATTCATTAACACACAACCACACAATAGGATGGGACAAAACCACTGTACTTAAGTCTAATATAGCTAGGTGGAGAGAGAGATTAATTACTGAATCTTTGTTCATCGAATCCACACCCAACACATGTAATAGGAATGACGCAACACCTATACCAGAGATATGGAAAACTTTACTACCAATCAAAAAACAAAGAGAGATCAGGTGACAGGACTATAAAATCAGATGTCGAAAGAAGTGTGATTACATTGATATGATTATGAGCAATAATTTATGCTCGAAACGTAATCAATTAAATAATACTGTATCACTGTGCGCTTTATATCAAATAAACAAATCTAATATGTTATCCACTAGACAAGTACTGAAGTACAAGAGTCACTTATTTTCTACAAAAGGGAATTACATGTATCAACAGATTATTAAAATTAATCCTTTGTTCCTCCAACTGATGTCAGTCTTCGATGAATAACAACTTGAAATATTTCCAAATCTCCACAACCCCCTCAAAATTTAATTGAACTAGTGCTCGTTGGTGACTAGCTTCGAGAAGTATTCCCGAAGTTCCAATGACAAGTCGTGACCGGTGGAGTCAAAGCCTGATGGCCTTGAGGACAAATACTCAACGATGACATTGGGTGGCGGTTTGCGCTATATCGTGAGCTAACAGAAGTTGGAAATATGGAGCATTGGATTCTGACCCAGTGGCTCAATGGTAACGCGCTGGTCGTGGAACCTGGAGGTCGCGGGTTCGATCCCTGTTGGTGGGGTCGTGGGTGCGCACTGCTGAGGAGTCCCATACTAGTGGGACGAAACAGCTGTCCAGTGCTCCCAGGTTTCCTTTGTTCCTCCAACTGATGTCAGTCTTCGATGAATAACAACTTGAAATAATCTGTGAAGATTAATAATTCTTTTCCAATATCTATCTTAGTGCTGAAAAAAGTAGAAATGTAACTTACTCATCACCGACACTTATACTTTTCCAGTAAGCAATGAGTTATACATATTTAATGAGGATTAATGATATTCTTTGGCTTTCTAGACCTAAGTACCTTCATTGAAGTTCGAAACAAAGATCTATTGATTGAAAGCTGTATGTACAAATCAATGAAGCATAGTGTTGCATATATATATTCAAGAGTTGGAAGAAATTACTGAGTACATATAGTACCTGCTACACTAACATAATACTAGAAACCCTTTTCGACAACATTTCGAACTATCTGATCAATTTATATATGTTATTATATATCTTCGAATTATCTTTCTTTCCTTATTTCTTCAGTGTATTTAAAAGAACTTTTATTATGTATTGATAAGGTTCATTTCCCTTGCGAAGGTGAACACTTTCGGATAATTAATGGTGTTCCCATAGGGAGTTCATTAAGACCGTTATTAGCTTAACTAATGCTACAAGATTTAATTAGTAAAGTCACATTCTATAGAAGGTATGTTGATGATATCATTGTAATATGTGACATAGATGAGGATACTGGGGGTTTCTCAAAAAGGCTTAACACCTTGTAAGATCGTTTCAGTTTGATACGGGAGGATAATATGGACCATCAACTTACATTTCTTGATATACTCGTGTGTTAGAGAAAAGACGGATCTATCAGACGATGAATCTATAGAAATCCTACTTGGACAGAACATTATTTGAGTTTCTATAGGTTTTGCCCAATAAAAATATAAGACAGTCTTGGCAAGATGCTTATTCAACAGGATCCTATGTACTTTTAGATCTGATAAAATGAATGATGATAGACACACTTATGAAAAACCGATATCCATTATAGTTTGTGAGCCGTTGTCAAGAAAGCTGACCCCAAAGCTTACAATTTCCCACTTCTCAGGTGAGTGAAGAAGAATCAGTCCTGGTGGGTTGATCAGTGGCCGATGAAATCTCTGCACGAATACAAACATCTCCGTTGGCTCTTGCCAACTTACGTCATTCATGGCGACGCCGTGATATCCGACCGTCTAGTAAGGATCATGTGTGCTGCACAGCAGTCTCCTCTGTTCTACTCCACAACTCTGAAACATAACAATTAAAGGTAGAAGACATGAGAATGTTTCAGGTATTTGACCACCACTGTGTCATCATAGTATAGGCTTCATTCCGTGGTGTCACCACGTGAGTAACACACAAGTTAGGTGTAGAGTTTTGGGGAGAAGAGATAAGTCAGTTGACATGGTCGTATACCTTGATTGACTGAGATGGCTGATTGGGACATGTGTTAGGTATGTCTAGTCGCCACGTGCCTCATCACACAATGTTGGTTCAGGGTGGATAAAAGCCCGATGTGGTCAGACTAAAACATGGCATCAGTCTATGAAGTGTTTGACTGTTGGTTTGAGCCATGTGGGTGATGCAGACTGGGTGGTTGGGGACCAGGAGACAAGAGAAATCAGTGGTTGGAGACTGACTGTAGGTGAAATGGCTCAGAACTGATGTCAGTGGTGCAGATGTATCCCCACACAGATTATCTTCATCTTAGCGACACTATACCGAATTTCACCACTTTCTCATTCTTCCTTTCTCTCTTTGAGTACTTTATATTTCTTTTGACTGAATTTTTTTATCTCCATCTTCCACTGCGGTGGCTTTTCACTTGATGTTCTGATATGAGGTGTGGCAACTCGGACCGTTACACAGTAATGCCTAGTAATATGTTGATTTGGATATATGGATGGAGCCGACGGGACGACATGCGTAACACACACCTAAGTCACAGAAGCCGGTGTTTCCAGATGACTTTACTTGTTGAATGACGATCTTTATCAAGCCCAAATACACACTGTCATACCTCATAATTACTAACATGATGTTGCCATCGGATACGACCAATCCTACAGAGACAATAATGGCTGAACAGAAAGTCTTCGCATATCCTCAGCTCAGACAGGCCAGGTTTCACAAGTGTAGGGAAGGGCTGCTTGCGTAAAAGCCTTGTAAATCTGACCTTTTACCATCATACTGACGTCGCGACGGCGAGAAAGGTGGGTCAGATTGACGTATGTCACTCGGCCTTTCAATATGCAGTCGGAAATTTCATCAGTCAAACCCCCACCAGCACTCGCACAACTACCCAGATGTGCGAACTTATCGAATACTTCCAACAGCTCATCATCGAAGGTGAGGATGCAACCACAAAAGTACTTTGCACTTGGATGGTGCAAAGCACATACCATACTTACGGACACTACGGAACTTTCGTACTTTTGTCACTTCATGACACAAGTCAACCATCACCATCCTCCACAGGTGACAACTCACTAGTACGTAATGCAAATGAAAAATAAGTTTGAAGCTAAGATAAAGCAACTATTTCATGCTCCCAGTTTTTCAATATTTCTCAGACTGATATGCATACATTCATTCATGTAGTGGGTAATGAACGGCACCTATTGTTTTTCGGCGACAATGATGCTATCTGGCTACCCAAATCTCAGTACGTGGGGCGGGGTTCGAACGATGACCCATTAGGTGACAGCCATATTCCTAAACCCATTGAGTTATATCCTCCATAGATGGATTAGAAACTAATCACAGCGAAAAGTGTATCAATCAAGAACAGACAACTTACTTGCTTAACTGTATTCACAGTGCGTAATACAAGCAGACATGCTCTAGCCTGCATAAATAATGCATCGAAAACTAACTCCAATAATTGAATCAGATATCTAGTAGAATTCATTTCTGATAATGGGGTAGTATCATTTTGAGCAATTGCTCTGTAAAATAATTGAAAATAAATAAACAGCGATATAAGCAAGTGTTTGAAGTTATATAGAATTTTTGATGCCTAATTCAATAGACAATACATCAGACATATAGTGAATAGTTCAGCTAGTCAATGAGGTTAATAACCTGTATCAACTATATCGACTGCAATTTATCCTAAGCCTATTGAGAACACAAATCAATTAACTGATATATGGTAGTGAATTATTATTATTATTATTATTATTATTATTATTATTATTAGTCCCTTGGAGTTCCTAGTGGAACATACGGCTTCAGCAGCACGTCTCCAGTGACCTCTGTTCTCTGAGATCTTTTGAACCTGGTTCCACGACAGCCCACAAGCTCTCATTTCCTCCTCGCACGACCTCCTCCATGTCACCCTCGGACGTCCAACTCGTCGCTTCCCATGGGGATTCCACTCGAGGGACTGACCTGACGCGTGATGTCCCCAGTCGGCCTTCTCAGTGCATGCCCAATCCATCTCCACTTCCTCCTGCATATTTGTTGACTGATAGGTTCTTGGTTGGTTCGTTCCCGAAGCACCTTGTTGCTTATTCTTTCTGGCAATCCATCCGATCTTCAGTAGCGAGCCAGCGTAAGCAGTTGTTGATGAATGTCTGTAGTTTATTGGAAATCCCTTTCGTAACACGCCAAGTCTCTGAACCATACAAGAGCACTGACTTGACGTTGGTGTTGAAAATCTGGATCTTGTTCCGCATGCTGAGTGGAGTGCAGAAGATCTCCACACTGCTTTCAGGCTAATGAAGGCCTGTCTTGCTTTTCCGATTCTGACTTTGACATCCTCGTCTGTGCCTGTGCCACCTGTAGTTGAAACAGTGCTTCCTAGATAGGTGAAGGAGGTTACTTCCTTTAAGCTTCTCCCGTTGATGGTGACTGGAGTTTGTTGTTGTTGTTGGTGGGGTATCTTCATCAGCTCTGTCTTCTCTATATTCACTTGAAGTCCCGTCTTCGCTACCTCACCTCTTCTGTCAACTTGTTAGTTTTTGCCTGCAGATCTTCAAGTTTGTGTGACATTAGGCACAAGTCATCGTTGGCGAAATCCAAATCTTCTAGGTTCTTTTCCGCCGCCCAGCGTATCCCCCTCTTCTCACAGCTCCCCACTGTTTGCTGCATGATCCAGTCCACCAAAATCGGGAATATCATGAAGGATAGTAGGCAACCTTGTTTCACTCCTGTCCCCTGTCTTCACTTCAAAAGCATCACTGAGCTTACCATTGTGAATTACTTGGTCGGCATGTGGCATCTTCATATAGTTGTTGAATGAGGCGGATAAAGGTTTGCGGTACTCCGTAGTAATGAAGCAGTTTCCAAATTACCTCTCGGTCGACGCTGTCAAAGGCCTTCTCAAAGTCGATGAAGTTGAGGTAGAGAGCTGATTGCCATTCTATGCTCTGTTCTATGATGATGCGAAGTGTTGCAATTTGGTCTGCACATGATTTGTACTTCCTGAATCCAGCCTGCCTGTTCCGGTCGTAGTTTTGAATCCAGTGCATCTTTAAGCCTCTCCAGGATGATGCGGCTTAATATTTTACTTGGGGTGGACAGGAGAGTGATTCCGCTCCAGTTCTTGCAAGCACTGAGGTCTCCCTTCTTCGGCAGTTTGACATGGTAACCCTTCTTCCAATCAATGGCCAGGTACCTTCTCTTCCTTCCACACCTCCTGCAATAGTGGTGTGAGCATGTCCGCTGTTGTCTCTGAGTCTGTTCTCAGTGCTTCTGGCGGGATCCCATCTGGTCCTGCTGCTTTCCAGCATTTCAGTAGTTTTATGGCGTTCAGGACTTCCATTTTCGTTGGAGGATTTATGTTCACTTGTAGTTAAGCGGCTGCAGGTGGTATTTCTGGACGAAGTGCAGGTGGTGGTGGTCGATTCGAGAGCTTCTTGAAGTGGTCAGCCCATTGTTTCTCTTCTTTCGTAATTAAATTTCCGACATCATCTTTTATTGGTTTCATCTGTGTTGATCTCTTCCCAGATAGCAACCTGGTTATTTGATACAATGTTGTCAGGTCTCTCTTACCTGCAGCCTGTTCTGCTTCACTTGCCAGTGTTTCGTAGAAGTGTCTTTTGTCTTTGCGTGCACTCTTCTTCACTTCTTTGTCCAGTGTTTTATACATTGTGCTCAGTTCCTCTTGTCGTTGAGCATCCTTGCCTGTGCTGGTTTATCTTCTGCTTCACCATCCTCCTCTCCTCTATCAGCTTCCAGGTATCCGTCGAGATCCATTCCTTGTCTTGTCTGTTTCTTCTTCCTTCCTAATACTGTTGTGCAGGTTTCTTTCCACAGGAGAAAAGCATCGATCGATAAAAGTCAGTAACGGTTGGTCTCAATCAGTTTAGCTGGGCTTCAAAATTTGAGTAAAGTTAGAACAAAATGTTTCGCAGAATATGATGTATTAATTGTATTTCTCTTCCACCCCCTTCCTAACCCTCCTAACAATTACGTATACGCAGTAAATACATAAGATTTACATTGAGAAAAATACAACCCATCTAATTCCATTATCAAAAAGATGATCGTCCATTTATAACATAAGGAAAGAATTTATAGGGATTAAGGAAGTTTAAATCATATAGTATGCGATTACTAAGAATGAGGTTATCATACGATTATGAAATCTTACTACATGTGGTCAATGTAAAATGTAACAGCAGGCCGTTATTCATGGTGTTCTATTCCCTGAGCAGGATAGTTTAAAAGACAAGATCACACAAGTCAAACTACAGAAAGACGCAATCTGTAGGGTTGGCTCGCGATGACCACCTCTACATGATTAGTTATTTCCAACTAAGTCTTGTCACCATCACCATGCTTATTTCAGTTGGTGTCCTGAAATTCGACCTTCTCATTGTTTCCCATTGGTTGATATATTCGCTTCGTATCAATATATCTGACCTCAATAACAAGCTGCTGAAAATTCTCACAGTTGAATTCATCTCCATACTTATCCAAATGCATGTTAACGATGGTGTCTAGAATGACAATCAAAGCTTCAAAATTGAAAACATCCAGCTAACAGAATACAACATCATCATAGTTATTATCCTCCTATACTACAAATATTCTCTAATATCTCAAAATCCTATGAGTGTCAAACGCATCTCACTGTTTGGAATAGTAAGCATTACGTAAGTGTATGTAATAAGTTAATCATCTAAATGTAGAGTCAAACTATTCTTTATTTTCCTAGGGTTGAGGTCATACAGTAAACTGGTGGGGATGAAATAATACTGAATTATGAAATCGGTTGTAAAACAAGATGAAAATACAAAAATGTTTAAAAAAGGATTATACCGAGTGACAAAACATTGTAAAGGCTACCATGAAAGTTGGAGGCTAACAACTGCCTCCTCTTCGCTGCAAAAGCTCGGTTAAATTGCTCCCCAATGGCACTTACTTCAGTGCATCCTAGCACTGTTTTATTTGTAAATCATTTTATATGCTTTCAAGATTTGGAAATCGTGTATTGTGTCCATCAGATATTTGTTAATCGAACTTTTATCAAGGCACTTTCGTTCCTTTAAGCTTAAGACGATACGGCAGCAGAGATCTTCAAGAATCGACTGCCCAAATCGCTGAAGAAAATATTCTTCTCTTCTAATCTACACATCAGTTTCTTTAGTCAGCAACTGGTTCCGGGGGCGTTGAGGACAAACTACCACTTTGCGTCACCTTAATGTGTATCTACACACTTACTTGCTCTTGTGGAGCTAGTTATAACGGCCACATAAAGTGCTCACTTTCCAAACGTATCTCTCAGCACTATCCTGCACGGTTGTTGAGGGGAAAATGTAAATCAATTAACAGTCCAATTCTTCAACAATAGACATATAGCATCACCAGAGTCTCCCTTCAGTGTCATCTACAGAATCAAAGAGAATCGTTCAAAAGGAGTACACCTTCGACAGCTGTGCACAGCAGAAGCACTGGCAATTCATCAATTCAAGCCTGATATCTATGTACAAAAGAAGTATGTTCAATCGCGTATCTTTCCATGATCTCAACACTTTCAAAAAATTTTGTCTTTCATTATAATTAGTTAATTTATTATTATTATCACCTTCATTATGACTCTTGTCTCATTCTTCACCTTCTTTACATTTATCTATCCATCTGTGAAGTGGGTACTCATACACCAACAATTTTCACCTCAACTTAAAGTAGAGTAATCTGGAAAACTTACAGATCAATGAAGAGCTCCAGAAAAGTATTGATGTCAATCATATACAATCCATAAATAGAACGCATACGATTGATGCTGATGAACACGTCAGCTTTCTAGGTGCTTACTTAAGTCTAAGCAGAAATTAGTTCAAATTTATGTAACTTTTTTACTGCTAGCCCCTATCCATCATTACTACATATAACTAAGAACACAGACAATATCGAGGCGCCCGCGTAGGAGCCTATATACCAATAGAGACCGATTAATTCGGTCCAATTAACGACGGTATAATACAAGCAACAACATAGAAACTATACTTGTAGCACAAAGAGTGGCTGTCGTGGCTCGGTGGTCTGGTGGACAACGCTCTGGTGTTTGAAGCGATCGGCCCCAAGTTCGAATCCCGGTGAGAACAACAACACTGACTGGGAGGCAAGTATATTCAACTGACAAGCCCCAAATAGGATAACATGTGTATCCTGGATTCCTCTGCTAGCCACCATCCATCACGTTTAGATGTACACAACTAGTTGGCAAGATTTCAAAGCATTTTTGCAGTTCGACATCTAAAGCTATGGGAAATGTTTTTTCAAATGCTTATCAACCAATTTTTTTGAAGTGGGGGAAAGAAGGTCCATCAAATACTCTTCTTCAAGGTGTCAGCAAGTCAGTTTCCTTGTTACCAGTTACTTCAAGCTATATCACAACTGAGATTCAGCAGAAGATCAGTGGAGACCAATTTTTCACGATCCAGCAAAACGTTACCAGTCAATCAAAAAACACTACTGTACTACCACCCTATCTATAATTCAAGGAGGGGGGGAGATGTTATAGTGTACAGACAGATCGACAAAATCTACGTAAGAAGACGAAAACCCCTGAAGCTTTTTTACAAACAATCGTTATGTTCCAAAGTTTCCGGAAAAACATGTGAACCAGTGTATGAATATCAGAATGACATCAGAATATTCAAATCTAGAAAAGCCTGGAAATAACACATGCCACTGTAGTGAAGTAGTCACTACAAGAATATAGGAAAGGAAAATAGGGTTACAACTAGTGGAGACAGATATATAACAATTGGAGACATTATAATAGAACCTATTACCGATTGGTTGAATGCAGAGGTCCAGGATTAATCAGCCACAACTCCACTATTTCTTACCACTAGTAGGATGAAAACTGTTATTTTGAGCATCACTAGAATATTGTGTAATCATTGAAGGTGAAACGGAAATTTGGACCGCAGCCAGATTAAAACCAGCGACCACCTGCTGTCCGGTCCGATTATCTGCCAACTGAGCTACGAGGTCCGACCGCTGACCAGACTTTTATTTGACTTCAATCACCAAGGGTTTTGCCCAACTACTATGTAACTTCGCGACGCATTACTATCGCTTGATCGTACTCATACTGATACTAGGTGATAATTGAAGGTGAAATGAAAAATTTAGATCGTAGCGAGATTCGAACTAGCGACCCCCTTTCTAATTCAACTGAATTGGATTGAGATGAGAAGTTTTGACTAAGCAGCCAGTGTCAGTATGATTAAGCGGTAGTAACGCGTCATAAATTCACACGGTAGTCGGGCAAAACCCATAGTGAAGGAAATGAAATAAAAATCCGATCAGCAGTCGGACCTCGTAGCTCAGTTGGTAGGCCATCGGGTCTGAAAACCAGTGATCGCTTGTTTAAATCCGGCCGTGATCTGAATGCCCATCACACCTTCAATCATCATGCAGAAATCCATACTGGTCTATCAAACCACAGCTCTTGGATAGTCAAAATGATAATTACTGCAATAATCGAAAATTGCAAGTACACGCATACAATGATTATAAAAGTAAACAATATAAAGGTGTTTTACTCACCCCTTTTCTTACCTATTTTCAATTGTTTTACTAATTTTTAGAACAATTGAACGATGAATTTCACCAACTAAACCTTGACCAAGAATAAGTGGTGCTGAGAAAGCATGACTAACTCCAGAGATGTGTGAAATATGAGATTGAGGCCGCCAATCACCAAGATACTAATATGAATCAAGAAAGAAAATTCATCATGCTTTAATTTTTTTTGGCAGAAAATGTGTAGAAGATAATGATTTTGAAGAAAAGTACAGTTAAGTTTGAAAATAACTTATTCATTATGAACAAGGTATAGCCTTTTTAGAACAATGTCAGCGGAAATGCAGGAAACAATATTAATTCCTTGATTAGAAGAAGGATGATGACTGACTTGTTGCAACAGTGATTGCTCGCATATAGGAAAAGTGTTCAACAATTCTGAATATTGTCAAAATTGTAAATATATCAAAATTAATTGATGATTTTAATGTTTATATTGACTACTCAATGGAGAGCAGCCAATCTCATATTGTATAGATCTGAGCACTGACCAAATTTTAACCATCATTTCATACAATATGACTACGAAGCTAAGAGGCTTTTGATGCACTTTCATGCATGTTAGTTGATTGGAGACAATCGACAGAAAGCCCTGTTCAACCTAGGTTTCGTGCCTATTAGGACTCGTCAGCAGGATGTATCTGCGACTTCGATGAAACTGATGTCCTCTTTGAGATCTGAACTCTTGTCACCAAGTCTTGTAGTTACAGACATTATCAATCACTGAGCTATTCTGATCTCAACCGACTGTCTGTAAGACTAAATTGTGTACATTGATTGGTCATTAAAAGACAACTAATTTCATACTGTCTGGTTCTGAGTGTTAACCGAATTCTATCGATCACACACACTTCTGTAAGAAAGAAACGATATAAGTGCCATGGGGGAGAGATAGAGATAGACAGACGTACTCAAAAACCAAGTGTAAGTTCGTGCAGTAGGCAATGCGCTACACCTATGACGGGTAATGTTACTACGCAACTTCCCAAGCGTCAGTAGATAGAGCGGTGATCGAACCTGTGACATGCATAGTTGAAGTCACATAGATTGGATCTATACATCCCGAACAATCTGATCATATATGTATCTGCTTGAAAGCCATATCCCGTAGAAGGTCGTTACAATCCTCCCACGGACAAAGTTTTCATTTTATTTTTATCCAACGATCACTCCATATTGATAATATAGGTCTCATCAAAGAGTATTTATGGGAAAACTTAAAACAAAGTCAATTACACTAATAGGAAACATAAGAATAGGAAGGGCAGGACAAAATAAAACGTTTAAATCAAATCAACACTGGCAGAGGAATTAAAATCGATGGTACCAAGGTAGGTTCAAAGTGAGTACAAGTTGTGTTCGCATATGTAAAGCGGGTATGACTTTATAGTAGAGTGGAACTTTGATAAATTTATTCACTCTTTCAGGATCACTTGTATACAATATTTTAACGACAGTTTTACAGAGTCTACCGTAAAATCAGTTTCTAATACATTTTTGACAGTAATGTTGTTGCTTGTATTATCCCGTTGTTAAGTGGACCGAATTGATCGGTCTCTGTCGGCATATGGGCTGCTGTGCGGAGGCCTAGATACTACCTGTGTTTTTAATTATATATTAATGATGGATAGTGGTTAGCAGTGAAATCCAGTTTGACAAGCGTTTCGTCCTACTTAGGACTCGTCAGTTGGATGTGCCTGCCTTCCAGTCAGTAATTTTGTTTCTACTGAGGCTCAAATCTAGTATCCTTCGAACACCAGAGCGTTATCCACTAGACCATGGAGTCACGATGACCACTTCTTGTGCCACGGACTCAATTTTAATGTTGTTGCTCGTATTATCTCGTCGTTGACTGGATCAAATTGGGTTCCTGTGCGGATGCCTCGACACTGCCGGTTTCAGCCCCAAGAAGTGGCTATTGTAGCTCGGGGTCTAATGGATAACGCTTTGGCGTTTGAAGCGATCGATCCCGAGTTCGAGTCCTTGTGGGAACAATATTTCTCACTGGGAGGCAGGTACATCCGGTGGATGAGTCCCAAACAGGACGAAACGCGCATCCTGGGGTTCCACTGCTAGCCGTCATCCATTATTAATACTTTTGACAATAGATGAAAATGATAGTTTGTCACCGCTTATTAGATTACTTGAGGTTGTTTGTGCGTGAAGCCATCCTCAGCTGCATATCATAATCACTCCTCCTTATGTATGTCACCATTATAACAATTAGTAGTGAAATTGTTATAATTATTAACACCTGTATTACTACTGTCACTACTGCCAATATTTTTCCTTCGATTTCTTATGAATTTATTTAATGACAAGTTTAGGTGAGTAATTGTTGAAACGCAAGGTATTCTTGATGTGTTCAACTTCTTGTTATAGATTTTCTGGCCTACTAGTATGCTTTCTGAGCTTATCAATTAGGCATTTAACTAGGCCTACTACTTTAAGTGAGATAGGGTAGGAGGATTTGAAGTCTAAGTAGCGATTCGAATGGGAAGGTTCCCAATAGATACTACTCTCCAAACTCCCGTCTTGTGTTCGTTTAGTCCTGAAATCCAACATGGCTAGCTCACCTTCTTCAATTTCTAAATCACAGGTAAATTGGATTGCATTCACTATTGGATTTATATGTGCCAAGAACCTACTGATGTGTTAAGTTATCAGTACTGTAAATGTATCATCTACATATCGGAACCATATCTTTAGAGTAGGAGTAAATGTTTGAAGGTTTCAAGCTTGTTGGGAGTTTCAACAAGGCATATCTGCAACCTCAAAGGAACTGGTGTCCCGCCTGAATTTCAAACCCGTGTCAACCAGTGTTGTAATCAGCGACGTTACAGCTGAACTATTCAGGCCATGACTTACCTCCTATAGGACTGGATTATATACAGGATGTCAAACGTAGACTGAATAGCTCAGTCCTAATGTCGCCGACTGCAAAAACTGGGTAACGCGGGTTCGAATCTTGAAGAGGACATCAGTTGCATCTAGGTTGCAGATACATCTTGCTACCAAGGGTCAACAAGCACGAAATCTAGGTCAAGCAGGGCTAACCACCGATATCCCGAAACTAAGGAACATTCATCAAATTCGTCACATTGCAAAACGATCGATAGAATTCGGCCAACACTTAGGACTAGACAATATGAGACTGGCTTTATTGATCTTGATGACCAGCAGAGGGATTCAGGATGCGCCTTCCATCCCATCTGGAACTCGCCAGTCGGATGTACCTGCACCCCACTGAGTGATGTTGTTCCCACTGAGCCTCGAACCTAGTAACCTAGTATCCACTAAGCCACTGGAACACGATAGCCACCTCTTGTGCAAAGGATATCAGTTGTTGTAATAATACACTAAACATGCGTCCTGAATTCCTCTGCTAGTCACCAAGATCAACATAACATCATGAATATCTGGTATTATCGAGGCATACACATAACAGCCCGTCTGTCAACAGAGATCAAGAAATTCGGCCGTGTTTACCAATGGTACATCATGATTATAAACATCCAGGTAGCAGTTATTATAAATAAATAAATAACACAGCGAAAAGTCTAGGAAAATCTCGTCTTTCATGTTCTAAACACGCTGGGGTTATTATTAAAACTTATCTATATGATGGAATACAAACAATACTTGAATCTGATAAAGGAATCAGTTGGATTTCTTTGTGGAGAAGATGACATCGATAATTTGGTTGATTGTGGCTAACAGAAGAATCCAGGACGCACGTTTCGTCCTATTTGGGACTCGGCAGCTGCATGTACCTGCACCCCAGTGATCCTGTTCCCACTGAGACTCGAACTCGTAACCGATCGCTTCAAACGCCAAGGCATTATCCACTATGCCATGGAGGAGCAATAGCCATTGTTCCACATGGCTACTATTTATTAACATACTTGTTATTCTCCGTTGTTTTTGTTGGATCGAATCGTTCGACCTCTGTTGGTATATGGGCTCCAATAGGGATGCCTCGATGTTGCCTGAATGTTAATTATGATAAGATAATTTGGTTGGTTGTCGCTAGTAGAAGAATCCAGGTCGAACAATTCAATTCAACAAAAACAACGGAGAATAACAAGTATGTCAATATTTCAACATTTCCTATCTTCGAGTTAAAATTCTTTGAAATCGTCTAAATGAATCTTGAAACAGATTAGTCTTTCCCGAAAACAAACGAAAATCTAAACAGTTTTATACATCTGCTTAACTTTATTCAATAGCTGTAAATTTGTTGGCCAACTTTAAATTCAATTTATCAAAAGTTGAACACGATTGTATAGTTGTACCATTTTGAAATGGAGGAGAATATTTGTAGCTCAAATGGATGGTCTTGGTTGTACTGTGTTCTCTGAGGAGCTGGGTTGTTTAATTGTGGAGCTTTCATCATCTTTCTACACGACATCATCAGCACTAACTTCAGTATGAAGTAACCTGTCAATATCTCTTCGACGGCGATTTATTAGCGTACCCTGACCAACTGGTTGGTGATTGGTTGTTTTCTTCAACTGTTTGTTGTGTCACTGACTGTATAGATTTTCCTGTTAGCTATTCCGCTACTTCACCTCTGACGTTTCTGTCGTTTATCATTTTTCGTATTGGTTGATGAATTGGGTCTATGTCTATACATCTATTGATTCCTGACTGACTAACTGACCTGAATGCCAAGCTTCTAGGAATTCTCTGATGTTCTTTGTGTTTCCTCTCTCCAAGATTTCTGCACTGTCAAAATTGAATTCATCTCCATAGTTATTTCCACGTGCACTAAGATGAGTGATGAAATATTATGTGTGACGTTTAATAGCCAATTGGTGTTCTCATATAGACGAAGGCGAAGAGGGCGGCCACTTTGTCCAATAAAGTGTTGACTACAGTTATAGCAGTTGATTTTGTAAATGATATTCGGTTTTTTTTTCATTGGTTGTTGCATGCTTCAGTCTGCATAAGAGTGTTTGGAGGGAATTTGTTGGTTTATTACTATTATTACTTGTCTCTTGGGTTCCTAGTGGAACACAGGGCTTAAGTAGCACGTCTCCTAAAAGCTTGGCATTCAGGTCAGTCAGTTAACAATCAACAGATGTTTACACATAGACCCAATCTATCAACCAATGAGAGGAATGATAGACAACAGAAAGGTGACGAAGGGAAGCAGAGGAACAGCTAACAGGAAAATGTGTACAGTCAATCACACAAGAATCCAAGGAAACGACCAATCACCAACCAGTTGGTCAGGGTACGTTAATGAATCACTGACGAAGAGATATTGACAGGTTACTTCAGAGTGAAGTTAGTGCTGATGATGTCGTCTAGAAGAAAGATGATAAAAGCTCCACAATTAAACAACCCACGTCAGAGAAAACAATACAACCAAGACGCTTCTACAGTACTACAAACGATCAAAGTGTCACAAAACAATATCTGCTGCATTTCTATTTTGATACCGAGACGCATAACTCCTAGCAGGATCGGAAGTAGAAGCCTCAGATAATTAAACAGTGGAAAACACTAACCTTTCAACAATTTTTTAAGATCCTGACAATAAACATTTTGAATTTCAATTGGGTCATTGTTATGACCGGCAGTACGACCTAACAGCCTACAAGCAATACGAGCCTAGCAGACTATGAACGATACGAACCTAATATACAAACGAATCAACTCGAACACAAGTCAGAACGTCAACCACCACAACAACAATACCACCGAAGCGCGAAGGCTAGAACAGAAGATATACCGTCGACAGAGATGCTGAATATATATATATATATATATATATATATATATATATATCTTCTAAATGACCTTGGCAATACTAAATCCACATGTTTTGGCTAAAACAGTTAACAACTAATGAGAGCAGAAAGAAGAAAAACTAGAAACGGTATGAAAACAACCGTGTAGGTTATTTTAAGGTCATGGACAAAATATCAGGCAAAAGCTATGCAAAATTAGGGGTATATAGCAGTCAGCTAACCAGGCTCAATAAAGGAACTGGCAGTACCTCGTGACGGTTCATGTTGCCACATTTCTTATCTACACATTAAGGTAGGCGATAAGCAGAAGACGGTTATCAAAAGTGGTAGAAAGCTGTAAAAAAAGAAAAAAATGAGTAAGATGAAAATAGTGAGTAGGGGAATTTGGACCACTCGGATCAATTCTGAACCATATTGTCTAGAGTCTTCAACCATCAATTTCGATTGTCACATGAATCCAGACCAACAAGTCCAGATTACCCTCCACAACCTTTACATACTTTAAGTACTGATGAGAGGTTTCAAACTTCAGCTGCAAACCGTATATACACCACGATTTAAATGGTAGTTTAATGAACATGATAGTTATGAAGTACACTGACATTAAATAACGGAACAGAATAACCTAAGTAATACAAACTGTCCTGAATAATGATTGCTTCCGTTTTCCAGGACTATGTAAATGTGCTTTCGGCTCACTAGTCTCAGTACTCGGACTTTCAACTAACGGGTAACTGGTTCCAAACCTAAACCATCTAATGAGTTTTGAGTAGGGAGATAGTATCATTAAGTAGTACTCGGCAATTATTTAGGCCTATTTAAAACACCGGTAAGAAGGAGACAATAGTGAGACGATAGCTGAAAAGGATGAGACTCTGATTACCTCCCTCCCCCCCCCTCTCAGAACAGACAGCTAGAAATTTGGACGAAACATTTTGAAGTAAAATTCAGCTGGGCCACTGCAATGTTTCAGTTCCCCCCAATATCCATATTAGATTGCTTATCTGATTGACATAGAACACAGTAATAATCTACTGGACGAGGTTTTGAGTAGAATTTATTGTTCATATTCACATCATATCATATGCTATTTTAAATTACATTGGGACGTGATAAAATGAGGATAAACTCTCTGTGTCTCTATCTGGTCTCATGAAATACTCAACTAATTATCAAAAGGATTATATTAACCATGTAGTACGACAAATTAAACTCTAAAGCATAAAATCTCCCCAACTAAAGATATCTGTATGTTTAGGTAGGAATTAATCATGGACTGACATGAGATGGAGTAACATTGAAAAAACCTTGGAGCACTGGACAGGTGTTTCACATTAGTATGGGACTCCTCAGCAGTTCACAACCATGACCCAGTCAGGGGTCGAATCCAAGAACTTCAAGTTCCATGGCCAGCATGTAACCATTGAGGCATTGGATCGGAATACAAAAACCATCTCTGTTTTCTCTAGTCTAGTTGTAAATTGGATCATGAAAACTTAAAATTAGATTAGAATTACAATATTTCATTAGTATTTTTCTTAAATATCACTGCATCAGTCTCCAAGCAACTTCTCCGCAATCGTACAACCTATATTGAATGTCCTTATGGCATCATATGAAGATCTTTCCATAAAGCCTCTTAACATGCGGTGTTACAAGGAATCATGGATTTATTGGAATGTTTTACTTTCGAATGATTGACTAGCGATATTTTATCCACTGCAGCTGTAAACAGCATACAAAAATGCAGAAAAATATCCTACAACTGTATCTACAGTGGAATTTGACCATTATTTACCGAGCTATTAAGTATAATGTAAAGTATTATGGAAGCTATGGTGGACATATTTTCTTTTTAGCATGAACAAACAAAAATAGAACGTTTCATCATGGAGGTCATATATTATTATTATTATTATTATTTATTATTGTTTATGCAGTGTATCCTGATGTTTCTATGAACCTAGAAATGAATGTCCCCTTTGAATAATACATAGAATCTACCGTGATACTTCTCTCTATATACATTTTCCTTCAAATAAAAACCCATGAGGGATTTAGCCAGGATTACTTCTTCAAAAATGAAGTTGGTGAATTGTGCTTCCTCTTCTTTTTTGCATGGTGGATTTTACATACTCATTAAACAAGATTTTTATTTCAGCCAAAAAAGATTATTTGTATATGATGTGAAATATTCTTTCCTTTAACCTGAGGATTGCTATTACCTGGGATAAAGAAGAGATGGTAAACAACATTACCAAATCGGCTATCCTAGCCGATATCGGCCGTAATCAGAGATTGCTGACAACACGAGAACATATTTCGACCTGGTTTTATAAGGGTCAAAGGAAATGCATCAGAAGTTCTATCCTTGAGCATCTAATCAATTCCAACCATTCAACCAACCCAAACAAGGAGTTTAAGGTTGTTTATCGAATTCACTAAAACACCTCAGTGTTTCCTTCATGTTCAGTTTCTAAAAACAGCAGAGAACTTGGCTATCCATGAACTGAAACCAGTTCGAGCTTTGTGTGCAAAAGAGTATGTAGAGTTTTTGTCTCCACCTTGGTCTTAATTTATGTTAGTCTTAGTGTGCTTCGTTCCTTTTTCGTTTTCTCAATCCCCCCCCCCCCATTTTCACTTTATTTTTTATATTTAATTGTTTCCAGTGTTATTTCGACCAACGGGTCCCTGGTTCGAACCCAGTCACGGTCCAAATTTTCACCTCACCTTCAATCATTACCCAGCATAAATAGTAGTCTGCCAAACTACGGCTATCTTAGATAGTCAAATAATAATCAATATATACATATATGTAACTGACCTGTGACAATTTTCGTAAACGCATAAGACAATGTGCCACAGCTACAATCTCTCGTATCCAATCAGAATGAGATAAGGTGGTATGTTGTTGTGATTGTTGACTATGAATATTTGAATTATTTCCATGTGAAGCTGCTGATGATAGAGCAATAGATGTTGCAACTGTACGAGGTTCTTTATAGAGGTTAGTATCAACTATTGGTTCATCAACAGATGTACTATGCCAATCAGAAAGCGGTAAACTAACAAAATGTGTAACAGCAGCTGTATTCAATGAGATAGAAGATTCTTTCGAGCTATAAGTTGTCAAAGAGATGAGAAGATGATTTGAGGATAATATAGTAACAATAGATTGATAATAAGTAGGTTTAATTCATCAAATGGAATAGGATTCTACGCCACATAAACTAGTATTCACCATAGATTGACATGAGTTGGAGAAATATTACAGACCTGGGAGCACTGGACACCTATTTCGTCCCAGTATAAAGCACATTAGCAGTGTGCACTCCTTAGCCCGCCCCGCCAGGGATCAAACCCAGGACTCTCAGGTTCTGTGGCCAGCACGTTACAATTGAGTCAGTGGGTCAGAATCCAGTGGGCCCATATTTCCTACTTCCTCCATCTAATGTCCTCCTATTCCCCAAAAACCTCCAAACTGAACTGATCTGGTGACCAACCAAGTCCAACGTGAGGACAGATATTCAACGATGACATTGTATGGAGGTCATGCTATATATCATGAACCGATAGAACAAGGAAATATGGAACATTGAATTCCCGACCCAGTGTATCAATGGTAACGTGCTGGTCATGGAACCTGAAGGTCTTGGGTTGGATCCGTGGTGGGGTCGACGGGTGCGCATCGCTGAGGAGTCCATACTAGGATGAAACATCTGATCAGTGCTCCCACGTCTGCAATGTCCCTCCAAATAATGTCAGTCCATAATAAATATCAACATGAAAACAACATGGTTCGCTTACATATCGTGTTATAAGTTCAATCCTTATCAAGTCTGTAGAAAATACGTGCACTTTTAACCGTAGTAAGAACAAAAATAGGGAAATTATAGTAGCGATGGATACTGGCTAGCACTGGAATCCACGTTGTGGGCATTTCATCCTATTTGGAACCCGTCAGCTGGATGTAACTAACTCCCAATGTGTGGTGTTGTTCCTACCGGAACTCGAACTCGGGACCGACCGCTTTAAACGTCAGGGTATTATCCACTACACCACCGAGACACGACAGCTATTTCTTGTGCGATGGGTATAGTTTAGCATAATTAATTGTATTATATCGTCATTCATTCAGCCGGATCGCCCACGAGTCCGAATCCCGGCGGGAACAACATAGCTCACTGAGAGGCAGGTACATCCACCTGACAAGTGAGTCCAAATAGGACGAAATGCGCATACTGGATTTCACTGCTAGCTACTATCCATCATTACTATAATGAGAAGACAGGCAATATCGAGGCGTCCGCATATGAGCCCATATGCCAAGAGAGATCGGTCAATTCGGTCGAATCAATGACGGCATAATACAAGCAGTTATACTAAAAACAGCAAGACAATAGGATGAAATTAGAGAATAATACAAAGAAAAATTTGAGAAAAGGGAGAAAAGGGAATACTTACTCAGATGGATAATTTATTGACTTGCGAAAATTAAATGTATCCAATTTATCACGTGAAAAATTCTTCGATTGTGAATCTAAAGCCAGAGTAAGCGGTTTCTCATACAATAAACGATTTAATTCTTTCTTAAGCTCATCTATAAGAAACTAAAATTCGCAAAATATATTGTATACTTTCTCATTGTAAAGGGTATTTAATAAATAACAAATATTTGTCATAGAAAGTACTGATCGCCCTAGCTCACGGTTGCTACGGTGTTTAAAATACCCAGTAATTAACTTCTTACTCTTGCAAGGTAGTATTCATCACGGGCTGATATCAGTTGGAGAACATGAGAGGACTGGGCAGCTGTTTTGTTCTGCTGTGGGACTCCTCAGTAGTGGGGTGTTCACGACCCCAACAGGGACCGGACTCAGGACCTTTAGAAGTAAAAAACTGTGAACCATTAAACTCCGAACCAATGACTGAATGACTAACGCATCCACCAAGAGATCTAAAGGTTCTGAGTTTGATTCCTGTCGATGTTTTGGTTGCATAATACTGAGGAGTCCCATTTTGGGATGAAACAACTTTCCAGTGTTCTCACGTTTTTAATAGTTCTCGAATCGATATCAGTTCGTGATGAATACTACCTTGAAATAAAATCCCCACAAACCTTAAACTATAATCTTACTATTCCGTCTGAATAATCAGAAGGAAGAAACCAAGTGTCACTGAATAATGTAATAACTTTTAGAAGTGCATAAAACATTAGACAGAGCATTCGCCGTAAAGCGATTTAGCTGACTTGTATGATAACAACTTTGAACCAAATATACCTTGGTTCACGCATATCGACTTGACAAACCAGAGATTACGGCTAGGCTATGCTTTTACCCAACATACCACCTTGTAGTGCCACTGGATAAACATGGGTTTACTTAGATAAAGACTGTAAGACATTCGAAAAAAAACTGTTGAAGACCAATAAAGCAGTCTGAAATATGGTCCAATGTTGGAATAAACAGGTTGGTTGGATATTAGGAGTGAGCTTGAATTAGTAACTATGTTATACTCATCTTATTGACTAACAATGGAATGCAAGATGCGCATTTCCTCCTATTAGGGACTCAAGCAATTCGATCCTGTAAAGGAGCAAGAAATTACAGGCATCAAACAAAAAAAACAACACCTGATACACATTTGCACACGAGGTGGCCACCCATCCAAATCAACATACGACCAGGCATAACTACGTAACGGTCCGAGTTACCACACCTCATATCAGTACATCAAGTAAAAAGCCAGTGAAGTGGAAGATGACGAAGGAAAGAAAATTCAGTCAAAAGAAATATAAAGTACTCAAAGAGAGAAAGCGAGAATGAGGAAATGGTGAGATTCAGTACAGCGTTAAGATAAGGAAAATGTATGTATAGATCTGCGCCACTGACATCAGTTCTGAGCCATATCATCTATAGTCAGTCTCCAACCCCTGGTTCCTCGTGTCTTGCGGACCCCAACCACCCAGTATGGATCGCCCACACGGCTCAAGCCAGTAGTCAAACACTTCGTACATTGATGCTATGTTTTAGTGTGGCCACCTCAAGCCATCTTCCAGCCTGCACCTACTTCGGCCAACATTGTGTGGCGAGGCAATCGGTGACTAAGAATACGTAACATGCGTCCCAACCATCTCACTCCATGAAGGTTCACAACCGTGTCAACTGACTTACCTCTTCTCTCCAAAACTCTACATCTGACTTCTGAGTTACTCACGTGGTGACACCACGGAATACGGTCTACACTGCGAAAGCAAAGGTGGTCAAACACCTGAAGCCTTCTCATGTCTTTCACCTTCAATGACCATGTTTCACAGCCACAGAACAGACCTGACTGCTGTGCAGTACACGCGACCGTTAATATCGGATATCATGGCGGCGCCACAGGTGATGTAAGTTGGCAAAATTCAGCCGAACATTTTGTATTTGTGCAGAAATTTCATCGGCCACTGAGCCACCAGGACAGGGCTCATCCTACTTCGCTCCCCAGGTAAATGAAGTGGTTGACACACTCAACCACTACACTCTCTATTGTTAGCCGAGGCACAGCTGAAGACTATTCCTGGAGCAGAAATTTCCATTTGGGTGATAAGAAACGCATCCCAAACATTCTCAAATTGCCACTGAAGGTGTCCAGAAGACCCTGTATGTTGTCAGCGTCTTCACCTAACAGAACTATAAGAGGTGGCTGTCATGTTCCAAAGGTCTAGTGGATACTGCTTAGGCGTTTGAAGTGGTGGGTGCTAAGTTCGAGTCCCGGCGGGAGCAACATCACTCACTGGGGTGCAGGTAGACTCCCAGCTGACGAGTCCAAAATAGGGCGAAAGGCACGTCGCTGGTTCCACTGCTAGTCAACAAGACGAATAAAACATAGTGAGTATTCGACAGTATCGAGAGATTCACGTAGAAGCCCATCTGCCGACAGAGGTCGAACAAATGGAATCTGTGTAACACACAGCAATAACAAGTAAAAAAACTAGTTCACAATCTAGTTGCACTCCTCTTCTATAACACAGGGAAAGAAAATAATCCACCTCATTTCTCACTAGAGCAGAAAGATCAGGTCAACAAATAAAAGAATGTTAAAAGTAACAAGAACACAGGTATGGAGAGAAAACATAGGCAAAAAGTAGGCTGTAACAAGATCTACATGAAAACAAACACCTAGTGTATTCACCTATACAGATATCATTGCCTTCACTTCGTAAGTCAATGTACGTCATCAATTTTCCCAAGTCAATGACTGTTAGCGCCTTAAAAATTCCAGTCAGATGGCCTAAACGTTTTGGAAAACGGTTTAGACCAACATTTGGTGCAATATCCACCGATTCCAACCGCACTGTTGAGCACTTTTCGCGTGATAATCTCACGATCTTAAGGTTTTCATCTCGTAATGTTCAGCAATATCCATCAACCTGTACAACCCAATCATCTAAGAACCCAAGAGACATAAGCAATGAAATTCCTTTAAATCGTTACACTTTAAAAACCACAACCAACTTATCAAAAACAGAATATTACCTTGTTTTTATGTGCCATATCAGTTTTAAGTGCTTGAACTGCAGGTATTGAAGCGATTTCAGATTCAAGCATAAAACTAGAGTTGATCATTAAATAGGTTGCTTCAGACCAGGCGCGAGCAGCTACTAAACAGCTCAATGCATCTGGAGTAGAACGCAAACGATCCACCTGATCTACCAATTCTAAACAACGTCTCTGTTCAACAAGTTCTAGCCAGAGTCTTCTTAATTCCTCCCTGTTGCAATATAACAAACTTTTACAATCTATAAGGTCCCTTTGTATTTTAGCAACGGAAGTTTTGTTATCTATAAATTGGTGCTTTCAGAACAACAATAGACTTACTTACCCCTGACACGCTGTGAAACAAGTCCATAGGTGTTTAGTATTTTGTTAACATCACCAAATTTTTCTAATAAGTTGAAATCGTTTTAAAAAATGAACGAAAAAACAAACCGGTAAGACATATATTAAGAACTGCTCCCGTCTCTGTAAAATCTTTCTCTAGTTGACGTTTTTTCTTTTCTCGGATGTCCATAGAGCTACTGAGAAAAATATTTGCTCAAAATCAAAATGAAAGTTTACTTCTCCATTAGACTCCGTATAAAAGCCATCAGGTATGATGATTGCGTCTACAATATGCGGTAATCTGGCACGGAATACTTACCATCTTTAATAGCGTCGACGACTACTAAGGATAGTTGTTAACAGCCTCCCTTTCAACTTATAGGTGATTTACCCAAAATTTGCGTGAATTAACGACTGAATAGCGTACTAGAAACAGATCTATAATGATTTGTTCAGAGAAACTGGGAAAACAAACACAATTGAGTGTTTATTAATCCTGTTTAGGAGTGAAAGAATTGAGGAAGCAATTATTACTATCTAAAAAATACACTAAAAATCAATATAACTTACAGATTACTGTAAAAGACTGAGTTACACTCACTGTGCGACAACCAAACTTGTCTTAATGTGAACACTACGGTGAGTGAAACAGGATTCGATTGATAATCGTATAATCAAAAGCCGAAAATCAATAGAAAACTGACAAGTAGCTTCACTTGTTATCTACCACTGGTCAAAGTTAGTAATAAGAATTAAGACATTGAAATTGATTGTAGGGTGATATGCAGCATTCTTGTATAATGCAGACGAACTCAGAGATCCAAGGATGAAACGTAAGAAGACTTTCGATCGATGAATTACATTGAGGTGAGAACTTTTCATAAGAATTTTCCGATGAAATCTTCAAAACATCAGATTCAACAACTTCAATGAGTTTCACTTCATCTACATTTCAACTCTGACCTAACCTTTTAGTAATCATTTTTGAAGGTTGCCGACCAATACAACTACCTAATTAAATAAGTACTTCGGCTCTATAACATATACCCTGCACTTTCTAAGAATGGAGGTTAAACTGTAGTTAGAGGGCTGAATAAATTGTTTAAGAAGGTATGGCAGACACGACTCATCACCATTACACTCATCTAAAAAGTGTAGTTGGCGTAACGCTTGGATTTATAAGCTAACCCTTTTATTTTTGATCACTTTCATCACAGCAACCTGATTGTGATTTTATGACTATTAGTGATCCTGAATGAAAATGCCTTGTCTTCAGTGTAAATGGTAGAAATAAATTAGAAAATAGCGAAAGTAATTATAAAGCTTCCTTCTTTAATAATAACAGTTATTATTATTATTCGATCTGTGCAACATTGTTACAGAATATTTTTGTGTTGTTATATCTGCTGCATGATCCAGTTATTTGTGTCGAGCATGTATGCTAAATCATCCTAGTTTTATTTTGTTTCCTAAGTTTCTGGTTTAACACTTCGTTTGTACTGGCACGAGCACACACACATAAACAAAATCCCGTTACTTAGCAACAAGCCTCCACTTAGCACCAAATAATAGGAACCAATGTTTTAAATTAGAAACTAGTGTGAAGTAACAAGAGTTGGATTTCGTGGCTCATTATGACACATGCAAAAATACAATAAGCGATGGTATTTCGACATTTTGCAAGGAGACAGGTGATGATTAGGCATGCATCGCAGCCAATTCAGTTGATGAAGATTTACAACCCTATCAACTGGATTTTCTCTTATCCCTAAAACTCTGCACCTGACTTCTACATTACTGACATGGTGGCGCGATGATGCATAGGCCATGCTACGAAGGTAACGGTAGTTGAAGACCCGAGGCCTTCAAATTTTCTCTGACTTTAGTAGCTATGTTTCCCAGCTGCATAGTAGAACAGAGCAAAATGCAACATTATACTCGACGCTTAATAAGTAACCATATATTACCGTGGAGCCATAAATAGACTAAGTTGGCGAAAGTCACTAGGACCCTTTGTATCCGTGCAGAAATTTCATCGATTATCGACCCAGCAGGGCTGATCCAACTTCTCAGGTAAATGGATTTGTCAACGCGTTTAACCGCTTTACTCCCTATTGTTAGATAGGGTGCCACTGAAGACCAGTTCTGGAGTGACAATTCGCCTGATCAATAACGGCTACGTTGACGAGGTGATCGGGCTTGGATATCACAATCGCCTAACCGGTTATGCTAGTAGAAAGACTGTTCCTTTGAGGTCCTATCATACCAGAAAGGTCTGCTGGATAGTAGTTACACAAATAGTAGTTACCATCATAGTGCAAATTGCTAGGCCATGATGGAGGTCTGAAGTTGAAGTCGTACAGCTGGCTAGATGGGGGGTTTGATAACAGTTAAGCATTTCTCGTGGATGGCAAGCAGTCCCATGGTGATGATGCCTTTTCCAAGAAAAATGAAGGGGTTATAAAAAGGCCGAATAGATAAATAGCACACTTCCTTCTACCTTGCAGTATATCGAAGTCGCAGATATGGGTTCATATTCCGATTCGCAAAAAGGAAACTAAAACCTCAAACTCCTAAAGGGGCTGTGTGAGACCAGCCTCATGCAGATGTCCCTTGGGCTTTAGAGTCACACTGACTTCTTTTTATGTACCTTGAGAACAATTAACCTTCCACGGTGTGGACAGCCAGGAAGTGCCAATCACTCTCAGAAATCTGTCAGCACTCAAGTTTCCTGAGATCACTGTTCACCTACAACATCCTTAACTTCTAATTTTCCTCTACGTCTCTCGGTAAATAATCCTACTACCACAGTTAGTGACTAAATTGTCACACGCCCCGGCAATGTAGCTGCAGGCCAATGAAAGAAGCTGGGTGAGAAGAAAACTGAGGACCCCATTTGTTTAAAAACAGGCCCTTTGTTTCGCATACTAAACCTTCTGGCTTGTCGTTCAACCTAACGACTCAAATACAAGTTTATTAAGGTACAAAATGATGTCCATTATAATGAAAATAAACTGACTCATTATTCAATTAGTTGACAACCTGTGGAGATTGTGGGGAAATAAACATCCAACAGGTTATAATGAAGGTCTGACGACTGTATTTACCACATGCACTTAGAAAATAAGGTTCTCATCTGAATAAGCTCTTATTGCAGTAGAATCCAAGTTTTACTTTTTGCAAGGTATACAGTTATCGACTAGATATACACATGCATGTAGACTACAAGCAATAAACATGTACAGATTATCTGGTGTAACTGCTAGTGTTTTGGGTTTGTGGTTGGCTGAACTCAGCATTTTTTCTTTTGATGTTAGCATGTATATATGCCTTGCCATTTCTAATTTACTTAAAACTCAATGTCCCATAGTATGATAGTCCGATTTTCCGGATAATTGAGAATCTTTACTTTGATGATCCTGATAGTATTAATATCGAAAAGAGAAGTAACGAATATGCACGCACGATGAACTCTACTGGAGCATGTGCGTCTTCATTTCAGAAACTTCCCTTTAAGTGCCATATGATAAAAGTTAGGATGCTTAAACATTTTATCAAACTTATTGGCAGGTTGGACGAAGTATTCGTAATCGCCACTGACATCAGTAACTTTGACTTTAGTGAGAGCCTAGGCTTTACAGAATTAGTACTTGTAACGTTGACAGTATAAACCCGTGTTCGTTCGTGAATGACATTACTTTTTGCGACACTTGAATTAGACACTTCTGTAAACACATTCTCTATTTCTTTTACCTACCTTATCCGTTCTTAAGTTGTCCAAAACTGGTGGATATGATATATGGGGGGACTTGCGAATGCAATAACACCTACCTGAAATTCAAACACCTAATCCAACCAGCCACCGAAAGATCATAACAGCAAGAAACGTTACCACTGAAATCAAACTTTGATTTCACTAAAAAAATTAAAAGTATTATCACAGAATATCATGCATGCATGCTCCTTACATTAGTTCAAAACAGTAATGTCGGACTTAAGGACTCCACTGGAATTTTGAATATGCCAAGCAAAATAAATACACCAACTATGGGCAGAATAATCTATGCAGCAAAGGTACATAGCTAATTTAAGAGTTATACGGAAATAGGATATAACCAGATTGTTATGGTTCTTTTATAAATAAATGATGTTTCTGTTGGTTTTGAACTCAGCTGCAAGTTAAAATTGATTTATTCAGTCGCTTACACGTCGGACGAAAATGTCACTGACGGACTCAGTAATACGACCATTTGGAAGAGAAATAACAACAAGCTTGTTATTGCACAAATTCTAGGAGGGAATGTTTGACAGACCCTTCTAACAAGCTGTAGTTCATTCGTTTTACCTTGCAACTACATTGAGAGCAACTATAGTGCACTCAACAAAACAGCCAACCGAAAAACAAGCAATCTAGATACAAACCTGATTAGAGTCAGCGAAATCTGGCGACAAGAAACTAAAAACTAAAAGAGGAAATTTTAAGGAAAGATAACATTGCGGCATGTAATCAAGATTTCAAACTTGTGCACATATGGGTGCACTCCCAAAGAACATGAGTCAAGAAATCGTTTTAAAAGTTATATATTGTGACGGAAAAACTGTTCCCATTCAATCCTACTGACTAATTTCTTGCAAGTTCAATAAACCCAGGCTCAATGACCTACAAGTCAAACACTGTTCCAATAGTATATTCCCGGTGACCTTCACTTTTATATGAATCAAAGAATGATATTTGATGTCTTTGAAAAGTCAAACTGAAACTTTTATATTGTTGACATAGTAAAGTTGTTTCTGACTAAATGATCCGGACATTTTAGTGAGCCATGCTGTGATTGTACCGAAAAAACATATCAGGTATTCAACACTGTGGCCTCGCCCCCACTACCAAAGAGGTACGCAAATACATTCCAGAAGATACAGAGAACAGCGACAAAGTCAGCTGTTGGACAAACAGGCGAAAAGTGTGCTCGGAAAACTCAACTGGTTCACATGACGCCATCAAAGGAGACCAGGTGAACCGATAACAGCCTACAAGATGATTCGCCAGGTGCAACACACAAATGGGTCATAGCTATCAGAACCGCACCCACATACCCCACTGTAAGGCGAGGACAGAAGCGAGATCAAACTTCTCACACAGAATATGTGCCTTACAGAAAGCTCTACCAACGGAAGTAGCCATAGCCACATCAGTCGACTTTTTCAACCGACTACTCGATAAGTGCCTCAGTGCGAATAACCTACCACGAACATTCATCGATGGCAACTGAAGACATGACAACCCATGCCTGTGCTCTTTAACCCCAGTATCTGCAATAAGAC